TGAGCACAAAGCCCCTAACTATCCTTTTATGGAATGCTAACGGACTACACAACCACCGTGACGAACTTGACATATTTCTTCATGACAATCACATTGATATAGCTCTACTGACTGAAACGCATTTCACAAAACGGACACATTTTCACATACGAGACTACATCACTTATAGATCTGACCATCCAGACAACACTGCCCACGCCGGTTCTTGCATCCTTATACATAAATCTTTACCCCATTCCCTTATTCCTTCCACTCCAACTGAGTAATTCCTGGTAATTCCCTCTCCTTTAATCTCCTTGATACGTTGTTCCAATCCCTCGGATTGCGCTTTATTGCTGGAGGAGATTACAATGCTAAACACCAACGGTGGGGTTGTCGAACATCCAACTCCCGCGGTAACATCCTTTCCCGTCTCTCATCTTCTAATAGTTATTCAATCCTCTCGTCCTACTCGCAATGAGTCCTACTTATTGGCCAACATCCCTCAAAAAACGTCCCGATATCCTGGATATATTTTTCACCTCCCAGATTTCCTCCTCCCAAACTATAATCAAATCCCTGGATGACCTTTCTTCAGACCATAGTCCGGTTCTGCTTTCATTACATTCTGACTTTGCTCCTAAACCATCACCTCCCAAACTGATCACTGGACGAGTAAACTGGGACAAATTTCGTGATGATTTGGAAAACAAACTTGACCTCAAAATTCCGCTAAAGACAAAAGAAGACATTAATGGTGCCATAGAAAAACTGACATCATCAATAACAGACAGTATAAATAATAATACCTTTATCAATAAGATTAACAACCCACAAAATACTAACTTGCCACAGCATATTCGCATCTTATTAAAGGAAAAACGCAGAGCAAGATCGAAGTGGCATCGAACTAGATACCCGACAGATAAAGCACATTACACCCAACTGACTAAAAAACTGAAATCAGAAATAAGAAAATACAAAATTCAAAATTTACTAAATTTTACTGAAAAACTTACACCTACCGATAAATCACTATGGACGACCACTAAAAGGCTCCTGAAATTTAAAGACTGCAACCATCCACTACTCACTGATGCCCAAACCTGGTCCAAATCCGATGAAGAAAAATCCCAAATATTTGCCCACCACCTCTTTTAATCCACTAATCCTTTAATAAAACCTTTAATCCACATCCCGATATTCTTAACCCAAATCACCTTGAATGTATTGAAGCTGAACTGGATATCCCACTCCAAATGACTCCTCCTCCTAAAGCCTTTCATCCTTCAGAAATATCCAACATCATTCACAGGTTACCTTCCCGCAAAGCTCCTGGACACGACCTAATTACATCCCAGATCCTAAAACTACTTCCTCGGAAAGCCATTCTATTCCTTACATATATATATAATGCTGTACTCCGATCAACACATTTTCCCGACCCTTGGAAACTATCCATTATCAAAATGATACATAAACCCAAAAAGCCACCAGAATACCCATCCTCTTACCGTCCTATCTCTCTTTTACCCATCATGGGAAAAGTCCTAGAAAAACTCATCCTAAAACGCCTGTACCCAATCCTAGATTCTAATCACATAATCCCAGATCACCAGTTTGGATTCCGCAGATCCCATTCCACTATCCAGCAATGCCATCGTGTGGTGGATGTTATCTCCTCTGCATTAGAGCTTGGAATGTACTGCACGGGAGTCTTTCTCGATGTAGAACAGGCTTTTGATAGAGTCTGGCACCCGGGATTATTTTACAAACTCCATAAATTCCTACATCCTACATATTTCTTCATTATCCGTTCCTATCTAGCTGATAGATGTTCAAAAGTCAATCACAATAATGCTTATTCATCCCTCTTTTCCCAGTCCGCTGGTGTTCCTCAAGGTAGTATCCTTGGTCCTATCCTTTACACAGTTTATACAGCTGACATCCCAACCCATCCTAACACTGTTATTACCACGTATGCCGATGATACATGTGTCCTATCCGTTAATAATGACCCAAACATTGCATCCCAAACTCTTCAATCTCACATCACAAGATTTGAAGAATGGTGTCAAAACTGGAGGATTAAAATAAATTCTAATAAATCCCATCAAATCACCTTTACCCTTCGACGTAAACCCATGACCTCATGTCCCACAGTATCCTTTAATAATACCTCACTTATCCCTGTTGAACAAATCCGATACCTTGGACTTCACTTGGATAAACGTCTAACTTGGAATCCTCATACCAGACTGAAACGACAAGAAACCGCTCGACGTTTCCGACTACTCCAACACTTACTAGACAAACGCTCCAAGCTTCCAGTAAATTACAAAAGACTTATATACATGACTACAATAAGACCTATTTGGACTTACGGAGTTGAGCTTTGGGGCTCCACTAAGCCATCGAATTCCTCTCGTATCCAATCCTTACAATCCAAAATCCTTCGGAAAATCCTCAATGCTCCTTACTTTGTCACCAATAAAATAATCCATAATGACCTTAATGTTCCTTATGTTTCCGATTTGGCCCAATCCAGATACTAATCCTTCCATAAAAAACTTCAGAACCATCCGAATCCTCTCGTCTCTAACCTTGCTTCCTCTTCTATTCCTTATAACCCTCCGAGGCGTCTGAAAAGAAGATGGCCTCGAGATCTCTTATTGTAAATACATTTTGTTTTTAGAGTGCTACCAGTGGGTAGTTTCTCAACAAGTCATTTCATGTTTTTATTTTCTGTTATCAAATTTACTTAATGTATTTAATTTTTTAATACAGTTGTAAATATCATGTATAAATAAATAAATAAAAATGGTGGGAGGGCACAGATTGGCTGAAATTATCCTATTTTGAATGGTCACTAAGTATTGATGTACCAGACGAGACGGATAGCTGGAGAACGCAGGAAGGCGACTGTCCATGAGGCAACTTGTACTTCGTGTAACCTTTTAAGGACAAAAGAAATATGCAGAAAATACAACAACTATTCACAGATTTTGAAGGTTGTTGGGTGGATTTTACGATTCGCTGAAAGGTTCAATAGACAAGGGGAAGTGAACAACGGATCCTATCCCCATTTTTCCAAAGATGTTTGTTCAAGAAATTGAAGAAAGTGGGGTTCCGTATATGGATCAAATTAAAAATTCTAAACATGGTAGAAGTTTGAAATATCGCAATAAGCTAAAAGAAGAATTACGCTAACGATTTAGAGCTGAATATTCAGGAAGCCTCCTTCGATCTTCCAAGAAGAATAAAAAGACCCGTTAAACAGCTCTTGGAGAGGTAGTTCTTGTCGGGTATGATAATATTAAAAGAATCGATTGGCCCTTAGAAGAATAGAACGAATGATTCCTGGTTAAGATGGAAAATACAGATTAGTTACGGCTAATGGGAGAACTATCAGACCCATTCAGCGTATCTATCCTTTGGAGATTCTCAGTAGTACAACTGAGACAACATATGAATGCGAAGGATCTACAGAAGAACGAATATTGGACTTGAAAGAGAACAAAGAACTGAAGAAAAAGGGTGATCGTTTATTACAAACACGATGTGGCAGAAATGTGCGAACGCATAAATGGTTTCTTTGATTCTTTTTCTAATTCATATCAGTTTGAGAGTTTCACGTTTTAGTTAAAATAAGTTTATAATTATTTCTAGAAATTCTTATTGAGTAGTTATAAACTTCTCAAGGTGAGAGGATGTTAGGGAATTAGTTAACTATAAACGTTTGAATTTTTTGTATTACAACGTGAAATGTATTATTTTTAATTGCAGGCAAAACAGCTGTTATAGAAGTTTTTTTTTTAACAGATGTTAATTATTATTAGTTAGAATTAAATTGTTTGTGTATATAAACTCTCCTTTGTAAAATTTGCTGAAATATAGTTTTTTTTTTTTTTTAAATTGCACTCAATCACTACTCTATTCAAGTTCCCATTATTATTCACTTTTTTGTATTACGAGAAAGATATGTTTTCTTGACACGTAGCCTACATTAAGTAGCCGAAATAAATGCATTACAATTTAAAATAAGCGCATATTTTTATTGTTTAAGTATTCAGCCGAGATTACTCACAGAAATATATTCGGACAAATGAAAAAATAAAGTATTTTTCTATTTTGGTGGGGGGGGGGTCCAGCCCAAAAGCCCCCTCCCAGTGGATCAGCTAACGCCCCTGGGACACCCTGTATACTACACTTGTGCCAAAATTAAGAAAATATTATCAACATATTGCTGATTTAAAATAAAGAAACGATTAATATAAATTTTAAAAATTACTATTATTCTATAATCCTTTATTTAAAAAAAAAACCAGTTAAAATCATTTTCATTTACTTCCCGCGGTGCCCAGCCTCGTCAGGAAGTACGTGTAAGGTTGGTACCACCGATCTATTCTTCACTAATATGACTTCTACTACGGAAGTGTAGTTGAATCGAAACGTTTTTTGTTGTTTTTTTTTAATTTTTTTCAGAACGATCTTAGCATTAATGGCGGGAAAAAAGTCTAAGCACGTCGGTTTTCTTTTAATGTTTGCAGAGGACTATAAGTTTCTTAGGAAGAATTGAAAAGAACTCTTAAACTTCCCGCGCTTTGTAATTATTTTCTATTATGCTGGACGAACTGGGGATCATCCTTATAAATTGTTAAAGTTACTCCCATAATTATTCTGACATTTTTCTTATAACCGTTTTACGTTACTCCTGCCAAATGATGTGATTTTACTAATATCATTAGCTGTTATAATCTTTATTTATGTTTTTTTAAAGTAATTTATTATATTTAGTTTATTAGGAAGTCTTAGTTTGGGATAGCGATAATACTGTGTTATGAATGAAATACTGTTTCAATAACGAGTTGTATTTTGGTTTGTCAACAGGTTTTCTTTATTGATTTGCCAGGAACAGTATCGGGCTTTGCGCAGTACCTGTTCAGCCCGCACAGTGATAACTCAGTAGTCGAAGGATCTTCCTCTTTAGTAATGAACGAACTTTTTCAATGTCAAGTGTCGTTTTTTTATAAGTTATAAGAGTTTTGAAGTTCGTTTAATCTTTTTTTAGTACATTTTTATAGCGGCTACATTCTTTCACTGGCTTTAAGTGAGGTTATGAAATATAAGATGAAAAAACATTTTTTCATAAATGCGAGTGTACTTCAAGTAAGCACGTAGTTTTTTAAAAATTAAATACTCTTACTTATGTATTGCTTAGTGTATAAATGTTATCATTGTATGAGAACAACCTTTATCAAGTGACAAATTTGTATTATGCTACATAATAATGTACATGTAATTAATACTAGAGTGACAGAATCATAAACGTATTCAATGCCTTTTAGTTTTGTTGTTTAAATCTAATTTTCAGATTTTGCAATAATTGATAATTTTACCTTGAACATTTCAAATGATTCATAATAAACTGTTGCTTCAATTATCTTTCCTATTTGGATCAACAATAAAATACAAGGATTAAGACTTGATCCTAAGTTTTCTTAGACAATATCAGATTAGTAATACATTGAAAGTCAAATGGATTGCTAAAGAGTTTGTCACTTTTCATTTTTATTTATATATATCTAGCCTATCCCCAAATTCAGCAAAATTAATTTTCGATTATTTTTTTCACATTTCTAGAGAAAGAAAACTACCCAGAGCGAGAAATGATGTCATTAAAGTGTAAATTGTCAAGTGACAAATTTGTATTATGCTACATAATAATGTACATGCAATTAATACTAGAGTGACAGAATCATAAACGTATTCAATATCCTTTTAGTTTTGTTGCTTAAACGTAATTTTCAGATTTTGCAATGTTTGATAACTTTACCTTGAACATTTCAAATGGTTCGTAATAAACTGTTGCTTCAATTATCTTTCCTATTTGGATCAACAATAAAATACAAGGATTAAGAAGACTTAATCTTTTTTTATTTTTTCTTGTTTTCAGTTTTCTTGGATAATATCAGATCAGTTATATATTGAAAGTCAAATGCATTGCTATAGAGTTTGTCACTTTTCATTTTTATTTATATGTATCTAGCCAATCTTCAAATTCAACAAAATTAATCTTCGATTTTTTTTTCACATTTCTAGGGAAAAAAACTACCTAGAGCGAGAAATACTGTCATTAAAGTGTAAATTACTAAATGCCTGGGACCTGGGAAATTTCAAACATTTGCAACTAATGAACTCTCTGATTCTTTAAGGTTTCATATTAGGGCATAGTGGCACAATAAACTTTAAATGATGAATTATTTATAATAATATACATTTATTATAGTGATTTTCCATTTTGGTATCATTGATTATATTAATGTAATACAATCTGTAATTATATGGTTGACTGTCGCTGTGAAATTAATTGGTTTTATATTTGCAAAATATTGATATCCAGTTACATACATTGTTCATTAACTTGAGGTAATGGCTGAAGGAATTTGCTATAAAAGTATAAAATAGTGAATAAAATACAAAATTTTCAATCACGAATCTGTCCTTGATATATTTTGTTTTTTTCAAGATTATTTTACTCCTTAAATTTTTTTTTTTTTAAATTATTGTATGTAAAATTATGATGTTTTTTTTTTTTTTTTAGGTTCTTCCTCTCACCATAAGTGTTGAAGACAATGGTTATTACCTTATCAATATCCTAAATGGATAACTAGTACAACAGTGATGGGAAGTCTTCCAAACTTAAGGGATCTTGAAAAGGAAATTGAAATATATAGACCCGTTTGTAAAAAATTTCCAATACACTATCGCAATTACATAAAAGGCTATGACCCATATGTATCGCATAATAAGGCTATACGCCACACTAGGAGCATGGGAAATTACACAACAACCCTGTTGTATACTCATACTGATAAAATCAACCATTTTTTTACTACTGATGTAAGTTTATATATACACATATACATATGTTTATTGATGATAGGATATTTTGTAGTATAATTACATGACCTTTAATCTGGCTCTGAAGAGAGTAGCCCGTGACCTTGAAATCAGGATAGCATATAAAGAAATTGAGATAATTTTTAAATTTCCTTGGAATGCCTGACAAAATGAACACCTTCGCATTTACCTGATCATTTATATTGATGGATCTCAATGATCACAAAGAATATAGGCATACTCTTGATCCAATAGATATATTATGTCCTTCATTGAAATATTTATGTAATTAAGGATCTGTTTCTTGATCAATTTTCCCCGATAAAAGTCTTTCAACTACCTTCAGATTCCTATTTCAGAAAATACTACTTTTCATTCGTGATGGCGGAGTTTAATGCTTTATGCTCACTGTAAAAGTGCAATACGTTTCTTCTCTATACTTAAGCTAAATATACAGGTACTGTTTAATTATATTTGTCGTACAAAATAATTTCATGATTTATCTAAAAGTTAACCGAAGATCTTACAGTTATTATTTTATTTTTAAAATAATCATTAAAAACGTCCATCAATATCCTATATTAGGAAACTTTGTTACAATACATCAATATTATATTAGCACTGCTATAAAATAGATGGTAAATTTTTATATATCTTATTACATTAACTGTGTGATTATTTATCATGTTTGCTATTTTGCCTTTTATCCATGTTATTATTTTATCTTTTTTTTTTTTTTTTAAAGTGGTTATATAGCATTACATCAAAACAATGTTTGAATTACAGTGTCAGATTCTTCAGCCGGCCTTAGATGATTGGCACTATGGGACAAATAATTATAATAGAAAGATATTATTATAAATAATATATTTTATTTAATATGTTCATATCAAACCCGGTAACAAGTAGAATTGTCTATTTTTGATAATAAGCTACTCAAAAGTTTTTTTGTTTTTTTTCCTACGCCTAAGTAACGCCTGCTTCATCAGCCATGCGTGCTCTTGCAGTCCAATATAATTTTGCTCTCCTAGCATAAGGGTTGTCCATTTCACTAAAGGAACATCTTATGCCCTGTAATGCAGGGCATGTATCAAGATGTTCTCCTGTCATCATGTCTAAGGAACATGTCGGGCTATCTTTTACACCGATGCGGTGGAGGTGCTTCTGAAGGAATTAATATGTAATGAATTAAAAAAAAAAAAAGTGGTTTATACGGTGCGACATGTGATTGGATGTCATGGAGTGATAAGCTGTTCATTTTCTGTCCTGATGATGTTTGCATTGGCGAAATGTTTATGGTTTTTTTTTTTTCAACTACGCTTTGGAGACATAAGGCTGTGTGGCTTGGAATGTTTCTAATTATAATCTAAATGTTTCTTGGTTAGTTTGTTTTTAATTTAAATTAATATATAATGAAGTAATACACGTAACTGTAAATTACAGAAAACAGAAAAAAAATATTGAAAGTTCAAATGTTTATATTTTTTTTATTTGTACTACATTAGTCACATAATTTTTTCTTTTAAAATTAAACGGTCATGAGTTGACAATTGCCAAACAATTCTGTATGTAAACCAAGAAGGAAATATCAAAACTATATTTCAAATAATCCGGTAACCTGGTACATCGTAAGCTGCATCCATTGGTGATAGGTAGTGTTGCCCAAAATCGGTCTTGGTCTTGCAAAGTGCAAGACCAAGACCAAGGGCGCCTAACTGTTGCAAGACCAAGACCAGAACTGAACGATTTTTCGAATAAAAATTAAGGCTATATAGCTGACAATACTTGACAATCTTAGTTACTATATGTTAATAATTGGTATAACCAATATACTTTTGCATTTAACTCTTCTAATTTTTCATTTGGGCTTAGTTAGGTTTCTCCTATCTAAATAATTACAGTAATATCTCTATAGTAATAAGCTAATAACTAACTGTAAGACTGTTTGCGAGACTCTTGTGCAAGAGCAAGACCATGACCAAGACTGAGTTTGCAAGACCAAGACTCGTCTCGGTCTCGCATTTGGGCAACACTAGTGATAGGTTCTTTTACTTTTCTTGTATAGGATGTGAGAGATGTAAAATCAATTTTTTTTATTTTTATTGGTAGCCCCCAGTATCACTTTTGAATATCCAAAAAACTTCTATATTTTTGTACTTTTTTTGGTTATTCTCTATTTTAATCCTGAAGGAGAACTTTTTCGACATAAACATTCTGCAAATTTTTAAATTAATTTTTAATAACTAAAATTTTAGACTGGAATAGATAAGCGGTAAACCTGATAAGTTTCGAACTACCGATTTTCAAAACTTTACAATTTTTCGAAACTTGATATGAAAACTATAATTTTCATATTTTATCATGCAGAAATGTCTTCAATAACCTGTCTGCTACAAGTTAGTGAAATAAACATTTATTCAATTAACCATTTTGAAGGGAGGGGGGGGGGAGTGAAGGAAGAGGGGGAAGGTTTTGAGTTAAAGGGGGAGTTCACTGTTCACAACCAGACGACCAAAATTGAAATAAAAAGTTTACTTAACAAACATTTACATCAAGTGTATACACAAAGTGTAAATGAAGTGAATGAAACTGTAACGTAAATGTGAATTAAAGGGGTTTACTTTGATTCGAAAGACCAGGACCAAGCAAAGGCACCAATCTACTTCCTTCATGGCTTCAATTAATACTATTTATGTATTATAATATAATCTTATATTAAGACGTCTCGATAATGTATTACCTTGGAATATTAAAAAAACAAATATTTCCTTTCCATTTAATAAAGTTTAGAACAATGAATATGGCACTAAATGAAGGAGATGGATTGGCAGATTTACTTGGTCCGGAAAAAACCATTAATTCACATTTCTTTTACACTTTCATTCACTTCATTTACACTTTTTGTATACACTTTATATAAAGGTTTTTTAAATAAATTTTGTATTTCCATTTTCTTCATCTGGTAGTGAAAAGTAAACACTCCCTCTCCCACCAAACCTCTCCTCCTTCAGTTTTCTTTCAAAATGTTAAATTGAACAAATATTTAGGCCACTGTTTCATATTAGGCAGGTTATATAAAAAATGTATGAAATAGGAAACTTATTATTGTTTAAAATTTTCAAGTTTAGAAAATTTGTTTTCCGAAACCTGTTCGGTTTACAGAGCCTACGTTGGTCTCAAATTGTAGTAAGTTTAATCAAGTTTAAAAATGTATCTAATGTTTTTTGTCTAAAACGTGCCTCTTCATGGTCAAAACCAATAAAAGTGCAAACATTTAGTGGTTTTTGAGATACTGTCGAGAACAAAAGTTTGGATTCTGCTTCTCAGGCACATCCCAAACAAGAAAGCAAATGATTCCTTCAATCACCACTTGATGCAACTTAGACCCCCCCTTTTTCATAACAAAGTTACGGGACTGTAAGCTATATAAAGGATTAAATATACCAGAATAAGTTAAGACCTCATTGTTGTCTTACGGTGAAGCTTTTCAGTCAAAAACCTTACAAAAGCCGATCCACGCCCATTACAAAGATTGTCCGATACGCAGAAGCCCTTAATACTATAAAATGACTGAAAAAATGATCGGGGTTATAAGTCTGTCCACCATAGGGATAAATCCCCAGAGGAGAAATGTTCATTAAGAGAATTTTCACTACATTAGAATTATATTTTATTCAATATATCTCAAATTCATTCGCTTTATTATTAGGCTTAAATTATTTTTTCTCAAACAATTTGTAATTTTTGATTAATTGATAATCCCAATAAGCATCGATAAATTGTGACACTCTCCGATTATAATGAAATGAAATGAAATGAAAAAAATGTTTTATTATTCTGGGACTGTTGTCCCTTAAGAACAAAATATGAATAATACAGATTATATGTCTGTGTGGCTACAATTAAATTGTATATTTACAATGAAAGTTGACTTACGATAAAAATACAAAAAGGGAAAGAAAAGAACAAGTAAATTGTACATATGTATGAGAAACTAAAATAACCTTAATAATTTGAGGTAGTCTGTGGTGGTGCTCAGATATTTCTCTTAGATATATTTCACAATCATTCGGATTGAGAAAGGAGTAGGTGCTTAAAGAGGAGAGGTTTAAACGAGGAAACTGATTGAGCGTGTCGAATATCAGCTGGGATGGAATTCCAGAGGGAGGCGGCTTGTATTACAAAGGATTTGTCAAACGCAGCAGTTCGGTGAGGAGGAGGATAGAGGTCGGAAGTACGAGATCTGGTGGGCCGGGATTGGATGGAATATTTGAATTGTGTAAGCTGTGAAAAATATAGGAGGGTCGATGGGTTCTAATGATTTGGTACAGAAAGGTGGCTAGGAAGTACTGACGGCGATAGGATGGGTAGAGCCACCTCAACTCAGTGTAATACTGGGTAATATGCGTATCCCTTAGGTTCCGAAAACAAACCGTAGTGCGCAATTCATTAGGCGTTTAAGTTTGACCTCGGAATCTCCCGGGAGTCCACCGTACACCATACAGCCATAGTCGAAGTGGGGGAAAACAAGGGAGGAAACTAGGAGTTGACGGGACTTATATGGAAGGAGATATCGTAGACGATTGAACTGTTTTAGGGTAGAGATAGTGCGACGGGAAATTTGGGAGATGTGAGGTTTCCAGGATAGGGATTGATCGAAAGTAACACCTAGGTTTTTAACGGTGGTGTAGAATAAGGTAGGTGAGTTGTTCAGGAAGAGATTGGGAGATACCGGGGAGGATTTGAGGAGTGAAGGGGATCCGATCAAGATGGCTTTTGTCTTCTCGGCGTTCAGAGTGAGCCTATTGAGGTTTGCCCAAGCACTTATTCTGTCAATATCTTCCTGAAGTTTTTGAGTGGCATCTGAGATATCTGTCGGATTAAAGGAGAGGTAAATTTGAATGTCGTCGGCATACAAGTGGTAATGCCAGTGCAGGATAGAGGATGGGAGGTCATTTATATAGATGGAGAAAAGGGTGGGGGATAAGGAAGAGCCTTGTGGGACGCCTCTGGTCAGAGGTAGAGATTCTGATGGTGGGTTATTAGGAATTACAACGTACTGGGAGCGACCGGTTAGGAAGGATTGGAACCAATTAAGGGAACTAGAAGAAAAAGAGATATTTTTAAGTTTGGTTAGGAGGATGTTGTGGTCTACTGAATCAAAAGCTTTGAAGAAGTCTAGGAGAATAAGGATGGTTAGTTTCTGCTGATCTATGGCTGTGTGAAGGTCTTGGGAAATTTTGATTAGGGCAGACTGAGTAGAATAACCAGGCCTGAAACCGGACTGGTAGGGATTTAGGAGATTATTGTCCTCTAAAAAATGGGATAGCTGGGATTGGACTAACCGCTCTAATGGTTTTGAGAGGTTTGAAAGGAGGGAAATCGGTCGGAAATCATTAGGAGCTGATGGATTTGAAGTCTTCTTCAAACTGAAAGCCAATTGCTATCCTGAAACTAATTGCTAACTGAAAGCTAAATTGAAAGCCAAAGATATCCTTCCCAAAAACGTCGGCAAAAATTAAATAATTACTATATTTTAATTTAGTAATTATTTGACCGCACCCCCCGATTAACTCCTTCTCAATAATATCCTAGTTAATGGTGTAATCTAAAAGATCCACCAGCCTGTTTACTGCTTTCTCTAAAATGATCAAAAGAGCTAATTTAACTGCTTGTTTCATATTTGGTATAACTATCTGTCAAAGATAAACCCCTGAATCTAAAATTGACTATCTAACTTGATTCTCATACTATTTTTTTATGATTTGATTTTTAAACTGAAGATTAGGTCCTGAATTGCTTTCCCCTGTGAAAGTCCTTGGTAGCTGCCTTCAGATTTTTAAACCATTAAATTACAGTTGCAAACAGATTACACTAGTGATGCAAATATTCATAACGATGTTTTATTGTAGTGTTCACTAGATGAGGAGCTACTTCTCTATTTAAAAATTTAAGCTGATATGTCATCTTCTTTGGCTGCTTTAAAATTATTCCAACTTATAGATTATACCCAAGATACCCTCATACTCAAAAGGGGACTAATTTCATATTCTCTCAATTTTTGTTTATGCTAATTGGTCTTTGTAGAGAGTATTATAAATTATTTAAATTACTTAAAATGAGCCTTTTTTATAGTTAGAATTCATACTATTAACCTTACTTTGCGGGAATTTCTTGGTAAAATACAAAGGAAACCAGAAAAGTTTTGCAATATGAGTAATGTTATGAGGTGAGTAGGCAAAGGGTAGGCAGACCCGTTTCAGCCTAAGCAGTTGCTGATTGATTCACTGGACTAGTGTTGTTTCCCTTTTGACTGTGCTAGTGAAAGGTCTCAGAGATGTCATCCTGGTCTAAAGTTGAATTAATAGCCATTTTATGCTGCAACTTTGCACATGGAGGACTTTCTACACCATACGATATTCAGGTGGTTCCAAGATTTTGAATGAGGAAATTTTGAACTTGAGAAGGCTCCAAGATCAGGTCGTCTAGCTTCATGGTTGACTAAAGAAAACATTAATGCTATTCGTAAATTGCGTGAAGCAAACAAGAGAATGACCTACCACCAGATACAGGAGCCCTTGGGCATTAATGCATTCTGTGTTCTAATCTTCAAATCAGGAAGCTTTGTATTCCTTAGGTGCTCCTTAGCTTGACTGAAGATCAGATGGTGAATCTTGTCTCATGGTGCAATGAAATGCTGAAGAAGTTCAACAAAAGAAAAGCCTCTGGTATAAACAGTGTAGAGACAGGTGATAAAATTGGCTTTATTACTAGGATGTCCCAACTAAGACATGATCTGTTAATCCAGATGCATTAGGAAGTGAATGGTGGCGATATATTTTAGTGTGATGGTCGTAGTGGAGAGAGTGTTGCAAGAAACACATAAAGCTGCCACAAGCATACTCTTACATTGCAAAATGTCTCTCTAAAGTCACACATGCTTTCCAAAACTTTAACTGAACTCAAGAATGGGTTCATGGTTCCTTCACCATGACAATGCTCCAGCGCATCTTTCCAAAGTTTGCACAAAATATTTGGACTGCATTGGAATAAAACTGGAATGAATGAAACTTAAACAATACAGCACTGTGTTTAGACTCATGCTCAGTTTTTTATAAGGCATTAAGATTTTCTTATATTATCTGGAAAAAAAATACACTGCCAGACAAAATTAAATCATCACCTATAAAATTTCATTATAAAATTGGTACCAGAATAGAATTAGTGCAATCCTTTATTGATTGTATCCTCATTTCAATGGCAATCAGAAGGGAATTAACCGAAGAGAAATCGATCCGTGTTCTTACTTTAACGGAAGAAGGTTTTTTCATTATTTTTTACACAGAGTCACAATTCGTGATTTACAGGGTGATTATTAGGTATTTTGAGACTGCCAGTCATACCATAAGAAAGGTGCAAGGTTGTCCAAGGTCAACTTGCCGGTGTGACAATAGATTTTTACAAGTTCACATTCTTCAAAATCGCCATTCTACAGGAAATAGCTTTGTCTCCTGCTGTGGTTCAGAGGTGTATTTCAGAGGTGTATAATTTCAGAGCGAGCAGTGAGAATACGACTTAATGAGTTTGGTTTGACGTCCCATACTCCAGCAACTGGACCTCTGCTTTCCAGAAAGCACCAAGTTCAGCCCTTGATATTTGACCAGAAACACCTTAACAATACTATAGCCGTGTATTATTCACCCACAAGTCCAATACTCACCCTAAGGTCTCCAGATGGTTGGGAATGAGTGTAGAGGAGGCGGAGAGACAGGTAGGCTCCTGGTAATGTTTCTCCATCGGCTGCTTTTGGAAGAGACTCAGTGATGGTTGGGGGAGGTGTAAATTTAAACTCCACTACAAAGTTGATTCTTGTGGACCGGGACTAATTAACTGCTTTGAGGTACAAAAGGGAGATCCTAGAATCACATGTGATACCTCCTGCCAGAAAGGTATGAATTTTAGGGGTAAATTCATTTTAATGCATGTAAGAAGAGATTGAGTTTATAGCTTGGCCACCCTGAGGTTCGGACATGATTCCAATACTGCAAGAATGGAACATGCTTTGGTGGAATGAACAGGAGAATGCTGGCAGTGATCAGGGCTAGAAGAAGAAACAATTTTTACTTATTTTATTCAATAATGTGGATTTTCTTTCTTTTTTAAAACAAAAATCCAAACAAATACATTTTTCTTGATTCATTACTCTTTTCATTAACTATTCTATCATACTCACAAAGAATCCTTTTAAAAATGTCCATTAAAATTCAGCAAACGATCTTTAAGAATATATTCCTTTAAGTAAGAAATAGTGTTACAAAATGAAATAATACTCCTGAGTTTTTTTTCATATACTTATAAGAATATCAATAAAACAACTAAATTAAGAAAATAGTTAAAAAATAATAATTACAACTTTATTAGCAGTAATCTGTGAGATCTTAAGATCGGAGAGGCAAGTATATGCAATCAGAAAACAATTCCATCAATGGTACAAAGCTAATACTTTGAATTAAAGCAGCTAGAGAGGTTAGTTGGCAGAGCACATAAAATTTTCAATATTAAAAATCTCTAAATTACAAATCTTTTTTTTTGGGGGGAGGGCCCTCCACTCCCTCTTCTTTAAGGCTGTAGGGGGTTTTCCCGGTCCAGGGGTGTGGGCGAGGATTTAAAAGACTCCCCCGGCAACGGGACGCGAACTCCTGACTGTTTAAAATCAATTGTATCATAGATGAGGTTGCCAGGCAACGGCGGTGCTGTATGCATACACGTTACCCTCCGGCCTCCCCGCCCACACGAAATTACAAATCTATCAGATAAACTGTAACTACTGGTACTGGTACTAGTGGGGGAAATCAATCTGACAAGTGAGCCACACAGTCCTTTTTGCCAACCCCTACAGCTACCTTGAGGTTGCCACCACGTACTTACCAGAGTGGGAGTGTCAAGATTCTTTTCCCGGAGCTTCCGAGAAATGAAAATTAACCAAACAATATGGGAATCGAAATCAAAACGTTCAGAACCAGGCACTCTGGGACCCACACTCCAACATTCTCAGCCATCCCGTCCTCCGTAACTAACAGAAGGTTAAAGGTTTTTATGAGGTTCAGTAGAGAAAAGTTGGTGGTAGGCAATGAGTATTGGTGGTACCAGCATCAAATCTCAGGGATTAGTAAGCCATATTATTGGTATTATTAAAATGAAGCTTACGCTTTCATAAAAAGTCTTTTCTTCTTTTACAAGACAATATATCCGGATTGATGAACAAAAAACACTTCAGTAGCATCCTTTTTGAGTAAGAGTATTCTAAAATCTTGCAAAGACATAGCATATGTATAGTATATTATTTTTAGGACTGGTAAATATTTATATCGTTGAAGCATAATATATTTTTATGAGATTCAATTTTGTAAAAACTGATTTTTTTTTTTTACAGGATGCTAACGGATACTCTCCAGTTTCAACACGATCAACGAGGTCCAGTTGTACCCTCCATCATCACATCAATAACTCATTTCTGTTAAGGAGAAATTCACGTCAACGAGATTCAATGTCTAGTTCTGGTGGAGCTTCTTCTGTAAGAAGATTGATAGCAGCAGTTCGCTCAACACCCTCAAAATCTGGTCCCATTTACTCTCGAAGACTATTGTTCAGAAATTTTGCTGCTTTGTGTTTGGGTCATGCTATGATAACAGCAGCTTTTGTACCACTGTTTACCCTTCAAGGTTCTATTTCTGTTTGGTGGTGGCAAACAGACTACTCATTTTTACCAAAGTTCTTTTATCCAAATTATGATGTTGGGTCATTGTTGCTTACATCTCTTTTTGCAATTGGAGCTTTATCCACACTTGGTACTGTTTTTCTACTGAACAAACTTGGTACCAACTGGACCTTGATTCTTAGCTACGGTGGAACATGTGTTTTCCTAGGTGTACATCTTTATCCAAATATTTACACTTTGGTTCCAGCTTATTTATTCATGGGAATCTGGCTCGGTCCTCTAGCAGGTGCTAGAATTACCTGTCTCATGACTCTTGCTACAAAATTAACTTATGTAATGACAGAGCAAGAAGAAGGAGAAGTAGATAACTCTCAGGGTTTAAGGAAAACTGAAGTTGTAGTTCATAAACTCTCAAGAGGACTGCAAATTGCTCAAGATTTTGGTTTGATAGTTGGCAATGTAGCTACATCATTCCTTATTTGGTATACATCTAGTAGTTTACATGATGTAAATGAAACTGAAGTTATTCTGGATTCCATGTTTTCTCTTGAAAACAATGGAGAACGAATTTGTGGTAGTACAGCTTGTCCACTTCCCGTTAATGCTGAATTAACTAATAGGCCCTTAAATCCTTATGACAACCTTAATATGAGCAGTGTTTATCAACCTATGAGTATTAGCTGTAAGACAAGTACTATGTTAGTTAGTGTTTTTCTTGGTTTTTGTGTTATGGGTGTTGCAGTTACTGCTGCTTTTATGGATCATATTCGAATTCTTATTCATAAAGAAACCAATTCTGGAAATGCATGCAGTTATTCCTTCCGTCTTATGCAAGAAGCCTTTAAAGATCCAAGACTTCAGTTAGCTGCTCCACTATCAGTATTCATAGGACTTGAACAGGGATTTATGTATTCTGATTTCTCTAAGGTATACTATTACTTCCATTAAAATATAAAATATTATATTTATTTTCCCTTATTATTAATTACTATCATTAATTATTGTAATTCAAAGTTTTCTATTTTTTTTTTAGTCTTATGTTGCTTGTGCTCTTGGCATAACTGACATTTCATTAGTATTTCTGAGCCTGGGAGTATTGCAGTCTATAGCAGCTTTTACCCTGAGTTTGCTCATTCAACATATTAGAAGGCATATAGTAATTGGTATGATTTTCATTAATTTTTATTTATAATTTAAAAATTAAGTTTTCATTGGATGGTTTTGTTAAGGACAATAAGATAAACAACATTTTAATTAGAATATATTTCTTATTTTAATAAGACAAGTGTTTACTGTCAGTTAGGATTTTGATAGGTTAAAGTCATTATAAAATAAGTATAAGTATATTGTTTTAATTATTTTGTTATATTATTATTATTATTAAAGTTTAGAAATGAATCATGTAATTATTTAAGCAATGGTCAATTAACTAACATGCGTAAATGTTTTTCAGAACAAAAAATAAAAAACATAATATGGATGGAATCAATATAGTAAAAATACTATTGAAATTTATTTAAGAAAAATAAATCACAGTATTTGTGTAGAGTTACATTTAAAATTTATGTTTATACTTATAAAAAAGAAAAAATGAGGAATAAAAATAAACAAAATAGATATGTTTAAACGTTTTTGTATAGTATGAAATCTAAGTATATTATTTCATTCTAGTAAAAATCAACACTCTATTTCTAGTATTAACTTGCGTTAATTTTAATTAAAAATCTATCCAAAACTAGTTATGAATAGGTTGATAAAGGTTTCAAGCCAATAATTGATTTTTTATGTGAAGAAGATGAGTTCATAGAACAAAAAGAACAGGAATATAGATGAAATAGTAATTGTTTTCCATTATTTACATTTTAATGCATTTTCTAATGATATAAAGACAACTGAATCTTAAGATGGAGACCTAGAAACCAGGAAGTGGTAGGTATATTGCCTACCCCAGAAGTTTTATTTTCTCTAAATTTCTTGATAGAAATAAGGCTTATCTGTTGTTTTAGTATATTAGTAGTTGATAGTGATAGTTGAAATGTAGAGGTCTATCAATAATACACAGTAACTATGAAATTGATCAATAAAGGTTTCTATACCAAGCAACTATATTATTTCTCATTCAAAGTGACATGGATTTTACATCAGTCTTTATTCGGTTTTTAAGAATCAATAATTAGAGTGCTACCAATGGGTAGTTTCTCAACAAGCGTGTTTCATGTGATAATATCCCTATGTACACATTTACTGGATGTATTCATACTAATACAGTTGTAAATATCATAATAAAGTACTATTTGAATTCAAACACCATCCACATCTAAACAACTTAAGATTTCTGAACGAAAAAAATTAAGAAAAATTATTAAGTCATATTTAATAATAAGAGTCTATATTTCAATACATTAAAACATGTTTTATAAAAAAAATGTCATTGTGTATTATGAATTTAATTCTAACATAAATACAGTGCAATCTATGTAATCTTAACCACAGGCGGGTCAAGGGGGGGGAGCTTTCGGGCTGAAGCCCCCTCCCAAATATACTATAGTCAATTCTAAGAATACTATAGTCAATTCTTACCCATATGTGCTTGTTTAAGGTGAACATTTTTTAATGTTATAAAATAAGGCTCTGCTTATTTTTTCACCATATTTATTTTTATTTTCATAGCTACATTTAGGCTGGTAAGCCATCTTCAAGCCATTTTATTCAACCATGCTTTTTGCATGTAGTCCAAAGTCAATTCTTACATTTTTTTTTTTTTAAGTATCTCTTAAAGTATTATTGTTCATGTTCATGTTACTTTCTTAATCAGACTGCAGACTTATAGTCAAGTTCAAAATATTTTAATAAATCTTTAATATTGTCTTAAATATAGATGCTAAATTTAAAGTTATTGTTATTGTAATATTGATGTGATTTTTTGATCATCAGCTCATTTTAATTTTAATATAAATTTATGTTAATGTGAATATACTTATACAAAGCACGCGCATACAGGAGCCTGAGGATTCGTTGATAACCAGTACGATTTTCGGAAGGGCAGATCTACAATCGATGCCATCAATTTTGCCATTAGAGCTGCTCGGAAAGCCATTGTAGGAAAGAGGTGGATAAGAGATGGAAAGAAGTACTGCGCCATTATAACGTAGGACGTTAAGAAAGCTTTTAATTCAGCTCGGTGGGATTGTATCTTGGACGGATTGCGAAGGATGGAAGTCCCACAATGATATAAGGATTATTGAGAGTTATTCACCGATAGAATCTTAAGGTATCATACAGAAGCTGGATTAAAAAGTTGGTGTTCAAGATCACAGCTGGTGTTCCTCAGAGTTTAATTCTAGGTCCGTAGCTGGGGAATATTATGTACGATACGGTGCGAAGAAGAAACTCTCGGCTTTGCGGACGATCTGACAATCATAGTTCGTGGGAAACTCTTGGAGGAAATAACCTATAATGCATACAAAGCTCTCACCATTCGTCAATGGCTTTCAGCGGTAAGCCTCCAGCTTGCTGATCATTAAACTGAGGCAGTGTTAATTACTAGTAGGAAAGTGAGGGAGACAATCATTCTTACCTTCAGGGAGTTTGATAAGTCATCGATTAGTTATCTCAGAGTGCGGATTGACGCCAGACTTTGATTTGACGAACACTTGCACTAAGTAAGCATTAGAGCAGCACAAGTGATTAATGAATTGGCCAGAATTATGCTAAATATTGGTGTACCAAGGGAAAATCAGAGAACGCTTTTGGGTAGTGTAGCGAGTTCCACGCTTTCTTACACATCACCGATCTCGATGGAAGCCTGCTAAATGCAGTCATATATCCGTGAAGCAATCGGTGTGCATCGAAGAAGTGCCCTGCCTGTCGCTCGAGCATTTCGCATTGTGTCGTACGATGATGTATGCGTCATCGCAGTTATGCCTCCGATCGATCTTTTGGCAGATGAACGCAATTGGATGTTCCGAAGAAAACGAGAACAGCCAGTTTCTCGCTGGGCAACTTTAACAAAAGAAGAGAGAAATCATTGTCTTGAAAGATGAAAGATACGCTGGAACATCTCCTTCTTCTGGAAAAAGGACCTACCGTTTGATTCCCGATTTATCAACGTGGATATCGCGGAAACATGGGGAAGTAGATTCTAACCTCACCCAACTGCTTACAGGAACTTCAGGGCCTACTTAGTCCGCTTCAAAATAGAGATTAAATCATCGTGCCCAACTTGTGATCCCGTGGATGAAACCGTGGAACATTCGTTCTTCTGTTCTTCAGGTTTTGATCAAGAAAAGGAAGAGCTAGACAAGAAATTCAGAACAAAACTATCATCGGAAAAACTTTGTAGCTTTGATGATGAATAGGTAGGAGAATTGGAGTACTGCAGCGAAAATTGGCAGAAGGCTCAGAGCACAAGAGCAAGAAAGGAGAGGCCATACAATGGCTTAGCTATAATAACGTGTCCAAAAAAGAAGTAGGCATATAGTTCTTCTACCCTCCGCGAACTAATGCTTGACAGCAGTTCCGTAGGGTGGTAAAGAAGAATTTTTTAGTGAGTAGGAATGGTGTGGCTTTTTGTTGGTTGCACTTCAGCTTATGAAAGATTTTTCCCCTATCCAGAAATAAATAAAACACACACACTTACATACATTCTTCTATAATATACTTGGTTTTTGTTTATATGTCTTTGATTTGGTAGAAGATGGATTTTTTGCGAATTTATGAATATGCTTTCCTTTTGTTACATACTGGTTTAAAATGTATCACGAGTTTGTTAAATTTGACATAATTTTTTATGACAGCTGTGGACCTGTTTACATTTTACTACCAGACTTTGCGATAATGCTAATAACTACATCTGTTTTTATTTAAAGATGTTTAACAGTTAATTATTTGTTATTGTGTTATTAAATAAAATTTAAAAAAATATGATTTTGCTGATGGTTTGTTACAATTGTGAATTTTACAACATAACCAAAATAACTCATAGTGGGCTGGATTGACAGAGATTGTGGGCCACAGTTGGAATTAAATTATACCAAAAATAATTTACTTTCTGGGTATGATTTTTCAAATAATTAAAAAGATATCTCATTAAAACTAAATATACATTGTTAGTTATGTTTATAATAAAAAAAATTATATATTATCTTTTTTCTTTATATTTTTCAGCTGTTGGATTTTTTTTTCAATCGTGTTTATTGCTTGTGCTCTTTCTTTGGAAGCCCTCAAAAGAAGATCCAGCTCTTTTTTTTGTTGTTCCTGCTGTTTGGGGAGTATGTAATGCGATTTGGGATATACTAAGTTTTTGTGAGTATTTTTAAACTTTTAATTAAGTAACATAATTTTGATTGAAAGTCATATAATCAAGTATAATTTTTTATTAAATGATTTTATTTGTATTATTTTTTAATTTAAATTTAATGCTCCTTTATTCAATGACATTAATGCATGGAAAATATAAAATAGTAATTATCTTGAAATGTTTTAGTTTTTAAAAACAAAAATATTTGATAAACAATTTTGCTCTAATGATTAGCAATGATAAAGAGTTTTTATTATGTCTTTTTTGTTTATATTTTATATTCATAATTTTCTAAATGTGCCTCCTGGTGCTATTATTACTGCTGAAGACTTACTTTTACTTAATACTATATATTCTTTATCATTGAAAATTGAAAAATCTTTAATTTAAGGATGGTAAAATTATATCCATCCAATTAAGGTAAAATATGAAACTGTTATAACTAAAATAGTTGAGCCTTCATACCTTTTCTTTACAAAACATTTTAAAGGTAATTTTCCAGTTAGGGGAATCAAAGCATTTAATATTTTTACTTTTTGTTTTTAGAAAAGTGGACAATTAATTTATGTTATAATTTTCTATTAAATTTTATTGTTTTTATTGACATGCTATAATCTAATACTGATAAAACAATTTTTTCAAATTTTCATTTCTAAATTTCAGCTCTCCTAGTCTCGGTGTTCCCAGACAGCTGGCAAGCAGCATTTGCTCACTGCTATTTTTTTAGATACTTGGGATTAGCATTAGCTTTTGGTATACACGGTTCATTATGTAATTGGCTCAAACTTTATGGACTAGCTGGTGCAATGGTAATTGCTGTGACACCATACACCTGGTTAGAAATGAAACAAGAATCAAAAAAGAGACTGAAATCTCAATTAACAAATTTATGACATAAAAGGTTTAATGGAATATGTTAATTTTCTGTCATGTTTTATTTTTTTATTGTTAGTTTGTATGATAAATGGGAAGAAAAAAAAAATTAACCTAAAACCTGAAATAAATGTATCCATTACATATCCTGTTAGCTAGATGATATAAATATCTATATATGTTTGTGTAAAAACACTGCAACTTGTACATACTATGTATGTGTGCACAAATGTTAGTATATTCCGTTGTGACAAATGTATGGAAATATTTCCTGTTAATGTTAAATTTTCTATGTAAAATTTGTTGTGTAATCTATGTAAAGATGTTTTATATGTAATTCAATTTTGAAATATATAGTATCTTTGTATTTTAAGAAAAAGAGCATATATTTCGTTGTAAATAAATAACCATTTGTTTCTGTTCCAATGAATGTTATAAATGTATTATTAAATAAAAAACCCAACTATATTTTTTATTTATTTTCCTTCATTGGTAATAACTACTTAGGTATTATTTTATAGCTAAAAATGAGGCGATTAGTTTAGAAACCGGCTCAATCTAATTTTTACTAAATTACACTGACAGGCAAAAAATTCCACAAACTTGATTTTTTTTACTATTGTTTTTAATGAATAAATAGGTAATCTTTTTGTTTGTTTTCAATTAGGCATGTTAATATAGATAACCCTTAATCCTTAATTCAATGAAGTGATTCTAGATTCAAATGTTTACTTTCTATGGAATCAAAATTTTTATTTAGTATCATTAGTTCAGTGCCGTTTCTTGCAGCACATTTCTTAGTCTCCGGCTTTTAATTTTTTTCAATATTAAGTCTAAAAATGCCTCTTAGTGATGAGGATGTTGCGCGTGGTGTGGCACTTATTGATGATGGACGTTCCATCAGGTATGCAGCTAATGTCATCGAAGTTCCATATGAAACTTTACGAGACGCCGTCAGGCGTTTTCGGAAAACTGGTTCTTACAATAGAAGGCTTGGTTCTGGACGGCCTAGGGTAACAGAACCAGGGGATGACCGGTTTTTGACTTTGAGAATTTTACGAAACCGACACCTAACCGTTGTTCAAGCGATTCATCAGCTCGAAGAAGATCGAGGTGTGCAAATTTCAGAACGTACCGCTCGGAGAAGACTAAATGAGTATGGATTAATGGCTTTTCGTCCAGTAAGAGGACCAGAGTTGACCAGAAATCACAGAGTAACACGGCTGGCTTTTGCTCGAGAACCCAGTCATTGGACTATGGACGAATGGAGTGCTGTACTTGAGTCAAGATTCGCTCTTCGATCTCCAGACGGGCGTGAAAGGGTGTGGAGAAGAAGAAACGAAAGATATGCAGCCTGTAATTTTTCCCAAAGCCAACCTTTCCAACGTGGTTCCTTAATGGTGTGGGCTGGGATTTCAATGGAGCGCCGCACAGAATTGGTTGTTGTTCGCTGAGGGTCTTTGACGGCTATTCGCTATGTAGATGAGATTTTGGAACCTCATGTGTTGCATATCCTCAACTAAATCGGCGATCATTCTATTCTAATGCACGCCCACATGTTGCCCGCATAGTGCAGACGTTCCTTCAACAGAACAATATTGAGGTTTTAGCCTGGCCAGCATGTTCTCCAGATTTGAACCCCATTGAGCATTTATGGGATAACCTCGGAAGACGAATAAGAACGCGTGCAACACTTCCTGATACTGCAGGACCTTGAAAGGGCTCTTCTGGATGAATGGGCTATCCTCCAGCAAAGAGACATTTCCCGACTGGTGGAAAGTATGCCGAGGCGTCTTCAAGAAGTAGTGAAGGCAAGAGGAGGAAACACGCGTTACTAAACGATGATGTAATTAATTTCTTTTAGAATAATAATGGTTCGTTTTTCAATTTTTTTTCTCTAATCTTTCTTACCCAATCACTTTTTGATTATTAAAGGTAAAACCGATTATAAAATTCCATAAATACTAAGTATTATCTACAAATACCATTTATTATATACAAATACAATTTTACAGAAATATTTTTAGATGAAAACATGGAAAAATCAAGTGGGTGGAATTTTTTGCTTGTCAGTGTATGTTCCCCCCCCCATTATGTTTCGGCTTCCCCAGTGGCCTCTATTTGACCGAATAAGCTGAAATTCGGTTTATAGATTTAGTTCCCAGGCAGAACAATACTATTAAACTTTGGAAAACTTTCTGCCTTTAACAGCTTTTTTTATGTTTTTAAAGTATTGCATATCTCCGCCTAAAACACAGATCCTCATAACAAAGCTGGAAGTTTGAAATTTTGTATCTATATTAAGTTGGTGTTGGAGAGATGCCATTAAGGGGTCTCAACACCAGCCGCCATTTTGTTTCAAGACGACGGTGGAAAAATCCGTTTCGCTATAGACTACAGAACTAAAACTGCTGTAATGGTATTAATAAAAAGTTACCTAAAGTATTGGGTATAAAACATAATGAATTTATGTATATAACACACATCCTCAAATAGGACCTGAAAAGAAGTTTTGATGAATTCATTTGCGAATAACTCAAGAAGGGTGCACTTTTTTCGGTTTTTGGGTCTGAATATATTTTGAAGACATTTAAATTTCCTAACCAATAAAAAACCTTTCATCGAAATCCGTCCACTAATTGCAAAGGTCCATCATATACATTCTTTATGACAAAACAATGGTCAGCTATAGAACATTTTTTAAATATTTGGAACAACACATCGTATATTCAGCTACTACAGTAGTACTTTTCAAGAGCACTCAATGTTCTTATATATGGTGTCTTCAAGGAATATATAAGCCCTGATACTTTACATTTTTTTATTCTACTTCAAACGACGTTTCTAGCTGATTAGCTCATTCTCAAGCCATACAAATATTTTTTTTATCTACTAAAATATATTTCTACTTTATAATTTCATTAAACAAACATCATTTGTAGTACACCAAATACAAAAATAACTGTATTCCTCGTCTCCTTGTTTGAGCATTTATTGATGCTTGTCATTCCGGAAAATTCGATACTGCATCCTGTCTCTATTGTTTAAACAAGTAGTAGTTATTTTACAAGTAGTAGTAGTTATTAAAGGAATATAGTTATTTTTGTATTTGGTGTACTACAAATGGTTGTTCTATGAAATTATAAAATAGAAATATATTTTAGAAGATAAAAAATATATTTGTACGACTTGAGAGTGAGCTAATCAGCTAGAAACCTCGTTTGAATTAGAATAAAAAAATTAAAATATAAGGGCTTATATATTCCGTGAAGACAAAATATATAGGAACAACATATCTTTTTACCAAATCGTCTGATTTTAATGATTTCTTTTGATTTTTTAGGTAATTTAGTATACTTTGAAATGACCATACAATATTAACAAAAAAGTTAATATTTTTTGTGATTTTCGGATATCCAATGTTAACATCGTAATTTTTTTCAGGCTTCTTTTGGTTGAAGTTTATTATAGACGTAAATTTAAAGTTTTTCGAGGAGAAGAGTTAGGCCATTTTTATTTAAATCGGTTCATTGGTTCAAGCGCTGCATCGGTTCTTTTTATTTATTTCTCAAACCTACTCCTGGAGTCCTAATTCTGGTATAAATTTTTATAATTATATACGTAGCTTATTACAAAGATAAACTATTAAATAAATATTTTTAAACGTCCTAATCTTTGTGTATAAATATTTTCCAATGTGGTAGTTAAAGTCGTTCGCTATACACATTGAACTTATATTATTACAACCATTTGAATATAATAAACATTTGGGTAATGTCCTTTGTGCATTACTAAACCATTCATCCGATCGCCATGAAACTTTGGAAGTTGTTCCGTACACTCCTGGGAAGGTTTCTGGCATAGTACTTCTGTCTTACGATAATTTTATATATGTAAAAAAAATAAAAATGTAAATGTTTTTCTGTTCAAAGCCGCAAAAAAATGTGTCGCTATAAGCTGTAGCGCCAAAACGGCTTTACCGATTTTAACGAAACTTGGCTAAAGTCTTCCCCTTGAAACCTTTTCATTTATGTGTATAACATACTTTCCCGAAAACAAGCTGAAAAATGTTACGATGAATTCAATATTTTATTTGACGATAACTAAAAAAGTACAGAATTTTTGACTGATAATACCACATTATATTTGAAAGATTCTGATTTGCCGACAAAATAAAAAAAAATCATCGAAATCGGACGGTTCGTTGCAGAGTTATAGAGTTTTAAACATTTACTGCTTTCTCTTCAGAAAAGGCCATTTCCTTTTGCTTCCTCACTACCGAAGGTAAGCAAGCATTTTCTTGTTTTCTTTTTTTTTTTTTTATTGATTAATCGAAAATTTTATAATTACTACAGTAATTGAAATTATCATTTGAAGAAGTTATATAATTCTCCTTATGTAGGTCAATACTATTATACGTTCTTTAAATACATTTTTTAATGTAGTTTTATAAGTTCAACTCAGACTGTTTCTGATGACTATGAATGTTCAATTTGAATCATGAGAAAAAAATCATTAGAATTAGTTTAAATTGAAGCCATTTTATAGACAAATTTGTTTCTCAACTTTTTAAAAATGACAGATGTCCTTTGCTATTAATCTACTCATATGTGCTTTCTATTTTCTTTCTTTTTCATTTTGCCAAGCTAAGCCACAGCAGCGCGTGGCCGGGTAAAGCTAGTAATTTATAAAGCTTTTATTTCTATATTTAACACCAATGAAACAATTTAATCCCTTCCTGTTTTTTTTTTAAATTAAAAATAAGTTGAAAATATAACCTTAATGACGGTCCTGTGCTGTTATGCCTTTTTGTACTGTTATAGTTTAAAATGTTTTCTAGTGAAGAGAGTTCATCATTTTCCGATATATAATACTATAAAAGTTGTCCTCTGTATGACTTACAAGAGGAGCGGTGAAGAAGAAGATGGTTTAGAGTCTCATCGATGGGTTTCCGACAGAGTTCGCTGGTCATCAAAATCAGGCGTTTATTTTATAAATTAATTTTTAGGCATGGTATGTGCGACCCGTGGATGGCTCATGGCTCTGTGTTTGTTAGACAATTAAGACGATTAACAAATATTCTTCTGGTTCTTATTCTGGTTGCGGGTGTTCGTGGAGGCCATTGCCTGGCTTATATCTTATATGCTGGTTGTATTAAAATAATTCAAATATATAATAAATTATATATTTATTATATATAATATATTTATTATATATAATAACTAGACGACGCTTCCAGTTAAGTAGGCCAACTTTTGTCATGGAAAATATATTGAGATTCGTTTCTAGCGTCCTTTATAATTCTTATTTAAATAAAAAAATTAAATTTTTGTATTTGATGTTATGTGAGGATTTTTTATTTTTCATGATGTTTACTAAAGCATCCACAAACTCCTCCAGGGTTTTCGCCTAATTGAACGTTACTATGTCAATCAATTTCTAATTTTATTCTTTTGTAAGG